CTAAGCCCACCTTGGACAGCGGGGGGGTGGGGGGGGGGGAGGAGGGGGCGCTGGCTGCTGATGCCAGTGCAGGCACAAACATGGGCTCTGGCTTTCTGAGGCTTGGCACAGGCTGAGGCACAGGCATGCCTGGTGCAGGTGCCTCAGTGGCATCCACAGCCCAAAGCGTGGCCGAGGGTTCTGGCTCATGCAAATGAGAAGGCAGATTAATTACATTACGGACCAGCCTCACTGGAAAGCCAAGCCAAAATCTCAGCAAAGCCCTTAATACCCTTTGAGAGGAAATGAAAAATCCCTGGTAATGCCTGGGCGCATGCCCTGTGGCCAGCCTTGCCGGCTCACGTTACCTGAGTAGCTCTTTCGCTGTCTTCCAGCGGCCCACAAGCCACCCATGCCCCCCCATCCTGGGCCTGGGTACCCTCAGGTGTCCTACAGGGCTACCAGAGGCCACCCCTGGGGGGATGCCCCAATGCCATCCTGATCCCTGCAAGTACCCAGATGTGGGGCTGCAGAGCCTCCCCTCTCATTCCCTTGCTCTTTTTGCAGCCTCTTTTGTCCCATCACCGTATAGAACAGGCAAAGGTGCCCCTGCCCTGGACACCTGGGTCCAAGGAAGCTTTTCTCATCCTTCCTCCTGCAGCACTGCCTAATGCCCTAGGGAGCAAAAAGGGGCCTTGGGAAAGAGCACAAGCTAGACCCAAAGCAGAGAGAGACCAGAGAAATGTAAAAGCATCTTTTAATATAAATATAAATCCATCTGAAGTGATCCAGTAGAGAAAGAAGACTATGCCCCCATAAAACGGGCCTGGCGGTGGGCACAACATGGGCACTGAGGCCACAGGGGATGAGGGACCAAGAGGGCTGGGTTCACCTTGCGTGGGGATAGCGAGGGACTGAGCTGCTGGCAATAACCCCCGCCAAGGGCAAGGGCCACCCTGCAGCCTCCTCTCGCTCAGGTCCCTCAGTGGCATCAGAGCTGTCCCTAGTGGTGCTGGGACCCCAAGGAAGAGGGAGCCCAAAACAGCCCTGGGAATAGGCCTGGCTCTACAGGGTGGGTGCAGCCCTTGTCTCTCAGGACAGGCCTCCACTATGTGGCGACCACAGCCCCGAGCATGGACTGGCAGGGCTGTTGGACATCCCCAGAGGCAGTGGCACTTGAAGAGGCGGCTACCTGAAATGCCACCACCCCCTGAGCTGCCTCATTGGGGCAGAGCTCTGCTGTGCTGCAGCTGGGCTGGCCCCAGGGCTCGGCGCTGGCCGTGAGGGCTGCGATGTGGGTAGCAAGGCAACGTCCCCACCACCGGCCCTAGTGCACAGGCCTCCCTGCTGCAGCAGAGGTGATGCTCCTGGATCCTCATCCTCAAATGGATCCTGGGGATGTCCTGAGCCAGGTCGGGTGGAAAGGGGCCCCAGCACTGCCACAGGGCTAGACCCAGGGCACCAGCAGTGGCAGGACCAGCAAGGGCAGGAGGCTGAGGAGCACGGGGGCAGCTGAGCCTCGCAGCGTCTCCTGGTTGGTCTCAGCAGCTGGTAAGCCCCGGGCGCTGGCCACATGGGCCCGGGTGCTGCATAGCTCATGCAGGTTTCCCTGGAACTGGATCTTGCGGGATTCCTCACGCAGCGACTCCCAGATGGCGGCTGCCTCCTCAGGGCAGCTTGACAGGACCCCACTGGCACACGCATGAAAGTCGTCCCAGGACCTGGGGGGACATGGGAATGCATGGGAGCTTGCCAGCCACAAGGAACCACCATCTCTGCCCCAGGCCAGCACTGCAGCGAGGCAAGCATCCCACTGCCACCGAAGCATCCTGGCAGCTCCTGCAAGCATGGGGCAGCTGTATCAAGGCCCGTGGCCCACTCACTTGCAGATGGAGTCCAGCTCCTGCACCTCTTGGCCGCTCTCCTGCTGCCGCTGGACGCTCTGCACCATGCTGTCCCCCAAGCTGATGAGGCAGCCAGCAAAGCCCTTGTAGATGGTGTCACACTTCCCCACCATGCTCATGGGCTCCTGGGTCATGACTGTAGAGGGGACAGAAAAGCCAGAGCTGAACCTGCTCTCCAGACCCCCAGCTGGCCATACCTGCAATACAAACCCAGCCCTCAGCTTTATCTGACAGCAGGTAGACCCATGCCCCAGCCAGGTCTTTGAGGCTCCTCTGCAGCATGGATTCATCCTGCTGTGGGGGTGCTCAGTGTCCAGCTGCAGCAGCTGCAGCCCTGGGACTCCACGTGGTGTGGGAGGCCCCACCATGTCCTCAGGACTGTCCCTGTGCAAAGCTTCCATCCCACTCCATGCCATGCAGGGCTGCTGCAATTGCCCACCTCCAGGTACATGCGGAGAGGGTGATGCCAGGCTTTGAAATGTTGTGAGCTAGGTGAGGACCCACAACCCCCCTTTCACAACCTTTCAGACCCCTTGGCATCCTCTCCCCAAGTTTGCACTGCCAAGCAGGGCAAGTGACAGGGCAGGGAGGGGGAACCCAAGCCATTCTTGCACACAGCCTGAGCCAGGCCATACAATCAGGAACAAACAGGATGGAGAGGTAGAAAAAACTGCCCTTCATGGGCCATGAAACCTGCAATAACCCATCCAAGAACCAGCAAGAGGAGGAAAACGAGGAAGCAAGGGGAGCACAGGAGACAGGAAGCAGTTGTGCCCGCTTCCACAGCACAGTGTCATTAGCAGACCTGGATGCTTGCATGAGGGGTCTTGACATGCAAAAGTGACTATCACATAGTCAGCGTGGTGAAAATCCAACTGGGCCCCAAAAGCTAGAAGCAAAACTGCTCTGGCTTGGCCAGGTTGTATACTTTCCAGGTCATTGTGGGCTGGTTGTGGCAGGGGCTGTGCTGATACAAAAGCGAACTCATTGCTGCCAGGCAACAGAGCCCACACTCACACTGGGTGGGCTAAACCATCCTGGACAAGGGGTCCTGAAGGTAATGGAAATGGAGCCAGAAAATGGTTCCAAAAGGGACTGTGAACCCTTCTCAAGCCCAACCACCAACTCCACAAAGAGACAATTAATGCCTTGTGATTACCACTGGTAAATGAATTTATCCTCCTCAGTCTCCTCCCAGCAGAAGGAAGCAAGCAGTGAAATAATTAAAATAGGTCTTTTTTTTTTTTTTTTTTTTTTAGGGGGGAAAAAGGCAGTGGTTGTTGGGAGGTCCCAAGCAGTGGTATTCATGTCCATGCTTGGAGCAAGAGCAAGTTTCTTTGGAGCCCTCCGAATTAAACGTTCCTCTGACTGAGTCTTCACTCCGGGCCTGGGAGCAGAATGTGGCACAATCTGATGATCTTGCAAGTGATACTGCTATTAGCTGTACCCAAATGGCAGCACGATGGCCCACTTTGCTTCGGGCCTCCCAGGATCTCTCCAGAGCCATCTGTCCAGCTTTTTTATCCCCAAATAGCAAAGATTAATTTGTGACTACAACACAAAAAAAAATAAAAGCAAAGACTTGACTAGCTGAGCAAGCTGGAGTCCCTGCTGTAACAGGAAAAAAAAAGGGGGTGGGGGGGAGAGAGGCAGAAGTGCAACTCCAGCTGATTCACCCTGGGAAGCCCCAGTTCCCTACTGTGCTCTGCAAGGGATGAACTGAAAACAACGGCGAAACCCTGATGCTGGCTGCAGGACAGTAGGTGATAGGGCATATTTGGGACTAATGCTAGTGCTTCCACAGCCAAGAGAAACCAAAAAAGCGTTATGTGGCTGGGCTGCTTGGAAGTGCTGAGTGCTCAGCTCAGCTCTGCCCTGGGTGAACCGCGTGGCAGGATGGTGGTGGATCTGCCACCACGGACAGTGTGGAGCTGGGGGCCATCTGATGCCTCTGCTTCCCTCTCCCACTTCCAGGGCCTGGGGGAATAGCCCCACAGAGCAGGAGCTTAGAGGGGCATGGAGGTTTCTGGGGCCAAGGCAGATCCAAGCCACTTTGGTCTTAACCTGCATAATGATGACAGGGCAGATCCAGCAAGGAAAAAACAAGGAACAAGTGAACCTGCATTGCCCCAGCACCACATTGCGGGGGGGAACCCCACTCTAGTCTGGGTCCCCACATGCATAGCACTCCCACGACTGATGGTTCACCCCTAGACCCACCAAGTCATGCTGCTGGGATAGTGGCAGGACTAGGATGTCACATCAGGACAGACATTGAGCTGGGCTTGCAGGTTCTGAAGAAGAGCTGCTCCATCTCCAGCCCCTCAGCAGGGACTGGCCCACCCAGACTCACAACAATCTGGAAGCTGATATAGGTGGACAGTGGGCACCATGCTGGGACAGGCAGAAACTGAAAAATCTGCTGACACTGCAGTGCCCATAGCAGCTCCCAGGGAAGCCCCTAGCTCTGCCTTGGTCAGTCAAGGAGGGACAACTATCACCATAGGGCCATGTCATGGGAGTCATGAGACTCAGAAATGCTATGCATGGTGTGCTTAGGGACTCTGTAAGTTGAAGATGGCCAAAAAGGCATTAGGCCAGCCCCACTGGAAGCTCTGCTGTCTGGAGGGAGAAAACCAGATGGCTGTCATGCAAAAAGGAGTCCCCAAAGACAGCCAAAAGCTGTCCAGCAACTACAAAGGCAGCCAGGATGTCTCCAGGGAGCCTTGTGACATGTCAATGGCATCCCATGCCCGTTCCCCTGAAGCAAGGCCCTGAACAAAGTGGCTGCAGCTGAGACCAGCGCAGGGTCAAGTCTGAAATGTCAGCCTGTTGTGAAGAACAACAGATTTTCGCAAAACAGGAAACCCTGACAGCATCATCACGAAAAACCTCTGGTGCTGGGTTGATACCAGCTATGTGGGTCACAAATATCACAGGTGTCAACAGAATAAACAGGATCTGCTGCTCTTCTTTTAGGCCAGCTGGGCAATAAGCACATCAGACCAACCCCAACGACATCAGCCCTGGGAAAGCTGCTGAATAGCACGGCCAGGGTGGCAGGTGCAGAGACGCCTTCTGTCAGCCAGCCAGAGGGGCACCTCATGGTCTCTGCCATGCTGTGTGAGCTGGGTTTTGGCCTCCCAGTCTCTAACACCTGGGCATAGGGTGCTCGCTTCCACCACACTCCCTTGCTGTCAG